AGCAACAGTCTGTACACTGGTGGCTTAAGATCACCAATCTAGGACACTGTAGCCAAAGATACACAGTTGAAAATCTAAATAAGTAATTCCTCTCAATTTCTTAGGGATACATATAAGAACTAAGTACAGTGTAGTCAATAATTTTAGGTTTAAGATAAAATTATAGAGAAATTAATAGAAAAAAATCTACCAGAAGGTATTAATAGAGGTTTATCTCTAGGTGGTGAGTTAAAAGTAATTCTTATTTTCATTTATTTATATTTTCTAATTTATCTAAATAAAGTTTTTTTACCCCCTAAGTTCAAGTTATTGTTCTGCTTTGATCCGGTCATCTTGGCCTCCCCATGGCCTATTGCTGAGGTTACTTCAACTCAACTGTTCTTTTTGATCTTATGTTCTTGATGATATTAAGGAGACGGGTGATAGCAAAGAGGACCCTGGATTTGTTTCCTGGCAGTGCCTAGCTTCCCTAGCACCACGGGGTGTAGTCTTAATAACTCTAAGCACCTCTGGGAGGCAAACGCAAACAACACCCCTGATCCCATAAAAAAAAAAAAAAGGAAAGCGCACAATAGTATTTTATCAATTTTCAACCTTTTTATGCATGTAAAATTAGAAAATTCGCCCAGTAAATTGGAATTTGATACTTAGTAGAATTATAAAGTATGAATACTCCTGATTTGATTTTTTGGCAAAATACTTTCTAAACCAAGAATCAGTTTCACCATCTTTTAAATGGGAATAGTTGTTCCAGGGCTGGAGAATTGAAGGGAGTACAGAGGCAGGGTGCTTGTCTTGCACGTAGCTGACCGGGTTCAAACCCTGGTTTCCCATATGGTCCCCTGAGTTCACCAGGAGTGATCCCTGAGTTCATTCTTAGGAATAAGCCCTGAGTACAGCTGGGTGTGGCCCAAAATCCAAAAATAAATGCCAGGGCTAAAGAAATAAAATAGTGTGGTGGGTAGTGTGCTTGCCTTGCATGCAGCTGATCAGAGTTTGATCCTTGCTACTCTATATGATTCCTTGAGCACTGCCAGGAGTAATCCCTGAGTACCGCCAAGTGGAATCCATAAGCCAAAAACTTAAGTAAAGTGGGAATAATATCTAATGCATAGATGAGAATGAAAGGACACAGTGAATATAAAATGCTTACTAGAACAAGGTTCAATAAATGCAAACTTATTATGAGTCATGAAATAGGACTTGTAACAGGAGGGAGTGGTTACTTGCTGGGGTGTGGTTGATTAAGATTCTTAGGTTATCAAGGAAAATGAGGTGCTGCTAAGTTAGACATATTGTTAATTGCCATTGTTCCTGTGAGCCAAGGTACATCTGGGCTCTTAGGAAAGACAGAACTCAGTAAACAAATTACAAATGTCTGTGAAATGAGGTCTTGAAAACTTAGAAAATGTGTATGTGAGGTGGGAGTTCACATCCTAAAAATCTCGAAATAGTTTAACTATTTTACCCAAGACTGGTAATTTAACTTATTGGGCACCCCCCTCAAATGAGCTTTGAAATCTTATTAGTGCTCTAAAACTACATTAACAATTTGTGGCATAACACAAATTGGCATCAACTTGCTTATAAGTAAATAATACTGTAGCATATGCTGACCACTAGGTTATAGTTTTTATTTTTTTATTTTTTATTTATTTTTTAAATAAAATTATTGTATAGTTTTTATTTAAAAATGCTTAAATGCTAGAATTTTTTGGGGGGGGGTCTTTAATCCTACGTTTAAAGCAAGAGTATTCTAAGTAGAAAATTATTATGTACATTTTTCAAATGGAACAAAAGAAATTAGCAATAACTGCTTTCTGGAATCATTAGTTTCTTTCTTCTCACATATTCCAAATGTGCAAATTAATGTGAAAGAGTCCACTTTATAGAAATGACCTAGACAGTAACTTTTTGTTGTTTTTGGTTTGAGGGCTATACCCAGCAGTGCTCATAATCCACCCCTGTGGGTACTAGGAGACCATATGTGGTGCCAGATTCAAACTAGGGGTCAAATTCACAGCACATGCTGGGCAAGTGCCTTAACCTTTGTACTTTCTCCCTGGCTCTATATGGCAAATTTTTAATGTGTGGTGAAATTGTAAATCCACTCGAACAATTTGGTTAATGAAGTACAGCTTACACTTAAAACTTTGTTTTCTTTTTTTCCCTATGAAAACTGGATAAGCAAGGTGCTGGAGAATGGGCATGATCCATTAACAAACAGCCCTTAAATACGTTTACAAAAAGGCTGCTTTTCTAGCAAATTAAAAAAAATTAAAGAGAGGACCAATGTCCCAAGAATTCCCCAGTGTTTTTCATTCTTTCCTTGATGCTTCCTCACCCCACTTTTTGTTTTGGGGGCCACACCAAGTGGTGCTCAGAGGTCACTCCTGGTGGTCCTCTGTGATGCCAAGGATTGAACTGGCCTTGGACACATGCAAAGTAAGTGCATTTGCTCTTGTAGTGTCTTTTTGCTTTCCCTCCTTTAAAATTTTTATTATTTTTGGAGGGGTGGGGTTTTGTGCCTCATCTGCTGGTACTCGGCTTACTCCTGGCTCCGCACCAGGGATCATTCCTGGTGTGCTTAGGGGGACTGAACCTGGGTCAGTCATGTACAAGGCAAATGCCCTATCTGCTGTACCATCTCTCCAGTCCATACCCCAACCCCTTTTTTAATATAGGTCTGTACTACTGAGGGCAGGGGATATAGTGCAGGAGATAAGACAGGACCTAGCACTTGGTAAGCATGCATAGCTACCACTTGAGCTATCTCTCAGGCCCTCTTCGATGCTTTTTAGAATAGTTGCAGAGTGTTCTGTTTCATTTGCATACTATCAAAATAGAGTGCACTCATATAAGCATGACGTAAGAAAATCTCATCACTATCAATTTATCAAAGAGAAGTGATTGTTTCTGTGTTATGGAGTACAGAGTACAAACAGGAAATTTTATGTTTGGGGTGGACACAGCAGGCATACCCTGTGGTGCTGGGGTAGGGGCTTTATTTCTAGTCCAATGCTAGGGATAGGAGACTGTGGCCCTGGCAATAAACCAGAGCTTCCTTCTGGTTCCAGTCCTCTAATTCATAACCCCAGCCACAGAGAAAATTCTTGTTAAAAAACTAACCAACAGAGACCAAGGCCCTTTTTGAACAAGTGTTTCCTATTAATAGGTAGGTCAGTAATTCAGCATTTTTTATATGTCCCCTTATGTTCCTTAGCCCTTCACAGAAAACCTACTGTCAATTAAACTTAAAATAATTTAGTTTATTGATATCTTTGCTATTTCTGGGAAGTGCACTAAATTATGAACCCAGATACCTGAATTTCTTTTTTTTTTTTTGCTTTTTGGGTCACACCCGGCGATGCACAGGGGTTACTCCTGGCTCTGCACTCAGGAATTAATCCTAGCGGGTGCTCAGGGGACCATATGGGATGCTGGGGATTGAAATCAAGTTGGTCGCCGTGCTATTGCTCCAGCCCCAAAATAATTTATAGTTTAGGTAACGTGGTTAGGTAACTACATGTTAAAGTTGCTGCACCCCTCCATCAAAGTGCTCACTCTCCATCACTGTCCCTAAGTTATCTCTAGTTTTCCTCTCACTGCTTGGTAGCCCAGCTTTGTAATTCAAGGCCAAGGATTTGTCATTCTTCGATACTGTCCATTCCTTTGTTTTAACTCTCCCAATTACTATTTTTAATGAGGTTCCAATTTTTCCTCTGTTCTTACCCTATTCCCACGACAGTTTAACAGCAAACACATACACACACAGGTAGATATGCTTTTGTTTTTTACATTTTAATAGAAAACATGAGTTTTTTTTTAAGTAGTAACATAACAAGGAGCGGAGAAAGCGCAGTCCCTCACTTGTGTGTATGCCTCACACCTTCCCCAGACAGACAGACACGCACACAGAGGATTTGATGCCCAGCACACACGCACGCACGCGCGCGCGCGCGCGCACACACACACACACACACACACACACACAGTTTGCGTGTGGATTTGATGCCCAGCAACTCAAACAAAAAAAAAAAATGTGGAACCCTTTCGAAATTTCGAGTGCTATTAAACATGCCCTTTTCTTTTTCAGGAGAGCACATTGTTCTCCTGAGTCTCGATCTTCCTTTCTAAACTCTAATTTATATTTTTAAAAGGCAATTACAGAGGCGTTCATTGAGAGTGTAAATTTTACATTAGGGCAGGATTTACGTTTTGTGGCTTCTCGCCATTCACTTGCCATTAACAGTTTACCTGGCAAACTCTCAAGGGATTAATTTTAGCTCTCGGCGTTAACAAGGGTCTGGCAAAAGCAACACCACGTCCCCGCACCTGCCCTGTAGAAAACTTGAACGCCCCCTCCGTGCGGGGGCGGGGGGCGGGGAAAGAGCGGGTGGAGGAGGCCGGCCGATCCAGGGGCGCAGGCGCCCTGCCTCCCTCCCGACCCCGCCCCTCGCTGTCGGCTACACGCTGATGACATCATCGGCCCGCGCAGCCTACCAGGCCTCGCTGCCGAGCGGAGGCTTTTGCGTAGCGGGGCGGGGCGGCGCTGCCGTGCCGCGCATGCGCGCCGGGGATGGCGACGCTGCCTCTTTCTTCGCCTCTCTCCAGCGCGCGCCCCGGCGGCAGGGGGGGCCGAGGGCCCTCCCCCTCTTCTCCCTGCCCCTCCCCTCGCCTCCCCCCTCCCCCCAGCCGGCGGGGCTCCTAACTGACAGTTGTCGCCGGGCCGGTCCGCGCGCCGCCTCCTCCTGCCCGGGTCCCCTGCAGGTAGCGCGGGGCGGGAGGGGGTGTGAGGGAGAGGAGGAGCCCGGGCCGCCGCGGCCCCGCGCCGCGGCCGTCTCCCGGGAGGCCGAGGAGGACCCTCCCCTGCTGCCGCCTCGCCCCCTCCCCGTCCCCTCGCCGGGCCCGGCCCGGCCGGCGGGGCGCGGGCCGGCGGGCGGGGCGCCGAGGGGCGAGGCGGGCGCGGGCCGCGCGCGCGCCGCCGCCGCCGGGGGGAGGGGAGAGGAGGGCGCCTCGGCTCTCCTCTTCTCTCCCCCCTCCCCCGCGCCATGTAACCCCGCCCCGCGGGCGGCGAGCGCGAGACCCCCGCACGCGGCGAGCCGGCCGCCGGCGAGAGCGAGGCCCGATGCGGCCGGGGCTGCGCGGCGCGGCCGAGCCCTGAGGCGGCGGCCCGCGCCCTCGCGTCCCCCGGCGCCTCGAGCGGCCGCTCCGCGCCGTCCCGCCCGGGCCTGCCGGGCAGGCACGAGCGAGTCCGAGCCTGCCGGGGCGATGGGGCCGGCCGGGGAGGAGGAGCGGCCGCCGCCGCCGCCGGCAGCCGAGGACGGGGACGACGACGACGACGACGAGGTGGCGGCGACGCCGGGGCCGGCCCGCGGGCGCGGCAGCCCGGCGCGGGAGGAAGCCGGCAGCCCGGAGGCGGCGGCGGCGGCGGCGAGGGGGCTCGGGGGCGGCGGCTGCCCGGAGCAGGAGCGGACCTACGAGCTGCAGCAGGGCTACCGCATCCTGGGCGAGTTCCTGCAGGAGAAGCACCGGGGCCTCACCGCCCCCTTCCTGCAGCCCTCGGGGGGCGGCGCCCCCGGGGGGGAGGAGGAGGCCGCCGAGGGGCCGCGCGGCGGCGCCCGGGGCGCCCGAGCCCTCCCGCAGCCGGGCGGCCGGGACGTGTGTCTGCTGAAGATGGAGGAGAAGTTCGCCCGCGGCCAGTACGGGAGCATCACCGAGTTCGTGGCGGACTTCAGGTCGATGCTGGAGGCGTGTTACCGCACGCACGGCGTGGACCACTGGGTCTCCAAGCAGGGCCAGAAGCTGGAGATGATGCTGGAGCAGAAGTTGGCGCTCTTGTCCCGGTGAGTGCGCGCCGGCCGGCCGGCCGCCCGGGGTGGGACGGACGCGCTGACACAAACACACCCTCGCACGTGTCCGAGGATGGGCCGGGCCTGGGCCGGGGGCGCCGCTGATAGGCGCTGCTCGGTGCTGGAGCACCCGGGGGGAGGAGCGGCGCCGGGCGCCGCGCGGGCAGCCCCGCGCCGACCCCGCACCTCGCGATTCCGAACCGAGTCGGGGGGCGAGAGGCTCAGGCGGAAGCCGAGGCTGGAGCCCTTAAGCGGGTGTCAAGTTTGTGGCGCTACAAAGTAGCGCTCGGCGAGGCGGAGCCCGAGTTTTGGCTGCAAGCTGAGCCGCAGCTGTTGGAACGTTGCTATAGCTTGCATTTGGAATGGGAGTCTTTATTTTAGGACGAAAAATCTTTTCTAAAAGGGGGCGCGCCTATGAGAAAAGCGGTCGTTTCGAGTGAAAACATAACTGTTTTGCTACCCTTGTGAGACGTCAGAGACGTGGGGGGCGTTGGTCAAGGGCGAAGTTAACTCTGGGTGATACTGAACTTTTCTCTCAGCTGAATTTTAGCAACAATAGAGGCCGCTTCTTGGTGACTTTCCTGGGGGTGGTGGCGAGTGGGGTTTGGGGGCTACACCCGGCAGTCCTCGGGGCTTACTCCTGGCTCTGTGGTCAGGGATCATTGCTGGCCGGACCAACCCGGATGCCCGTGGGATCTTTAGAACCCAGGTTGAGCACAGACAACACTTTTCACGAATGTACACCCGAAACCGTAGGCCGTTCACATGGCATCGTATTTTGGTGCACTCCATCCACATGGACGAAATCAGCACTTTGTTTTGTAAGAAGAAATTACGCAAGAGGATACTAAGATAAATATATAATATAAAGATTATATAAAAATTTATATGAGCCCAACAGAGTTCTCAAGTGGAATTTTTTTAGTAACAGGAAAGTAATTGGTGAAAATGAGAGCGGAAATGGAATCATTTGACTTTTTACTAGCTGAGGGAATTTTATTGAATCACTTTTTCTCTTTAGCCTCAGTTTCCTCATCTGTAAAATAGAGATGATAATAGTACTAATCACGTGGATCTCTGTGTAAGTGAGTTAATGTAAAATCGGCTGTGCCAGTCTCATGGTTCACCCAGTTCTGTGTTAATCGTTATAGTAGTAGCCATTGGATAAATTTAATATTTTCCTCATGTGGCACTGATCATTGTATTGATACTTCTTTAATATAGCCCCTGAAAAGTTTTGTTAATATTTTGGTTCTCTATAATTATACTTTTAAAATATTTTAATCTGTTGAAACATTCCCTAACAGTAATGTTTGACTCCTTAGCAGGGCAATATTTAAACTAAGAACCTCTTCTTAAATTCTTTCATTAAGGGGCCAGAGCGGTAGTATAGCAGCTAGGCAATTTGTATTGCATGCGGCCAACCCAGGCTCCATTCCCAGCTCTCCATATGGCACACCAGGGGTAATCCCTGAACCCAGAGCCAGGAGCAAACCTTGGGTACTTCCACCCCACTCCCTCCACAAAAAAAAAAAAGTACAAAACAAAATTAAAAACCTTGCTTCACGCAGGATTATTTGGTACTAGAATAATGAATCATAAATTTGCTTTGGGGACAGAGATAATACAAAGATTGAGGCACTTTCATAGCATGTGGCTGAGGCTCTGGGTTGAATCCCTGTACCATATTTGTTCCTCTGAGCACTGATGGGTGTGACCCCTGAACACAGACCTAGGTGTAGCCCCACCTGTTAATAAATTCCTGCTTTGTAAATTCCTGTTAATACCTTATGTAGTGACATTAATATGTGTAGTGTTCGTTACCTTATTTCCATTGTGCTTTATAGAGAAAGCTCAAAAGTTGATCTATTTATGTCACTAATCTTAAATAGTAAAACATACTCTTAAATTGATGTCTTATGGGGCTGGAGCATTAGCACAGCGGGTAGGGCGTTTGTCTTGCACGCAGCTGACCCAGGTTTGATTCCCAGCATCCCATATGGTCCCCTGAGCACCGCCAGGAGTAATTCCTGAGCGCAGAGCCAGGAGGAACCCCTGAGCATTTCTAGGTGTAACCCCAAAAAGAAAAAAAAAAAGAATAATGTCATAAAATTTTAGCCTTGTAAAGAATCATAGATCGCTAAAGTAGTCCTTCAGGTTTAGTATATTTAGAATGAGGCAAAAAAATAGATACTAGCAGGCATCATATATGTTTTAGTGAATTCTAGGTGTTTTCGAAAGCATTGTCGGTATAATAAATATATCTTAGTTCTTGTAAGTGAAAGTCACTATTCTTTTCATAAAACTAAATTTGTAAATGTTTAAAATTGTTTCCTGTAGGTAATACTTAAAATGTGATGTATTCCATATCTAATAGTACTGTCTATAGCACTGTCCTGTTGTTCATCGATTTGCTCGAGCGGACCCGGTAATGTCTCCATTGTGAGACTTGTTGTTACTGTGTTTGGCATACTGAGTACGTCACGTCACGGGTAGCCTGCCCGGCTTTGCAGTGCGGGTGTGATACTCAGTGCTTGCCCTGCTCTCTGAGGGCCAGAGGAATCGAACTGGTTCCGAGCAAGACAAACAACCTACCGCTGTGCTATTGCTCCAGGATTCATATTAAAAGTGAATGTGTCTGTTGTTTAGATAATAGACTGTAGGCAGATTGATGTGCTTTCTTTGCATAGGAAAGATAGACTTGGGTTTTAAATAGCGAAAAAATAGTAAGATGGTCTCAACTAGATAATTAATTTTTTTTGTATCTTGCCACTGTTAAAGTTGCTAGGGGATCTAATCCGAGCTCCTGAATACAAAGCATATAGGCCCGTCCTTTGAACTTTCTCTCCAGCCCCTCAAACTAGGAATTCCTCCCCCAACACTGGTTGGAGGCTAAATTCTCAGTCAATTCTAAACAAATGCTTGAGTGAGCACAGCTTTGAGAAAAGCATAGGTTACAATGTTGGTTATCCCAGTAGGGTGTGTTGATGTTTTGAAGTTAGAGTCTATAGACCGCCCATCTATACAGATATGATTTTCAGCAAATCGGTGATTGAAAATTTTAAATGCTATGTCATATTTCAGTAGTACAAAGAGGTCACTTAGATGTTCTTATTTAAGTTTGTATTCTGGTCTTTTTTGGAAAGGTATTAAACTTTTTATTTATTTTTTTTGGCCTGGTGGAGGTTGTGTGGGTGGTAACTTGGGGCCAAACCCAGAGGTGCTCAGGACTTACTCCTGGCTCTGCACTAAGAGTTTACTCCTGATGCAGTTCATGCTTTGGGGACCATATGTGTGCTGGGGATGAAACTGAGTTTGACTTCATGTAAGGCAAGCATCTTAACCTCTGTACTATGTCTCCACCCCTGAGTTTGCTTGCTTAAAATATTAATTTACTATTTTTGTGTGGGCTGGAGCGATAGCACAGCGGGTAGGGTGTTTGCCTTGCACGCTGCCGACCCGGCTGACTCAGGTTCGATTCCTCCGCCCCACTCGGAGAGCCCAGCGAGCTACCGAGAGTATCTCATCCACACGACAAAAGCTTTGCAAGTTCCCCATGGTGTATTTGATACGCCAAACACAGTAACAAGTGTCACAATGGAGACGTTACTGGGCCCGCTCGAGCAAATCGATGAACAATGGGAGAACAGTGACAGTGACTTTTGTGTGGTGCCAGGGGTAGATCTGAAGACCTCATCCAAGCAAACTGAACTATATCCCTGATCTGTTGAATTAATTTGCTTATTCAAATTTATGTAAGGAGAACATTTATATGGAGAGTTGATCCTTGTAACTATTAAATCTTCTAGTAAGAAATGATATTAGATAAATGCATTAGATAAAGAAATGAATGCGTTAAAAGAGAATGCCATGTTTTCTTTATAGAGCAGCCCAATGTCGTTAGAATGTGGGACATAATTGCGTAACTTAATTTTGGTTTCTTCACCTATCACTGTATCACTGTCATCCCGTTCATCTACTTGCTCAAGCGGGTGCCAGTAACATCTTCATTCGTCCCAGCCCTGAGATTTTAGGAGCCTCTTCTTACTAGTGTTTCCCAACGATTGGAGGCTCTTTCAGGGTCAGGGGAATGAGACCTGTTATTGTAACTGTTTTTGGCATATTGAATACGCCATGGGGAGTTTGCCAGTCTTTGCCATGCAGGCGAGATATTCTCGGTAGCTTGCTAGGCTCTCTGAGATATGTGTGTGTGTGTGTGTGTGTGTGTGTGTGTGTGTATCGCTGTCACTGTCCTCCCGTTGTTCTTTGATTTGCTCAAGCGGGCCCAGTAATGTCTCCATTGTGACACTTGTTACTGTGTTTGGCATATCGAATATGTCATGGGGAGCTTGCCAGGCTCTGCCGTGCGGGCGGGATACTCTCGGTAGCTTGCAGGGCTCTCTGAGAGGGACGGAGGAATCAAACTCGGGTCGACCATGTTGGCCGCGTGCAAGGCAAATGCCCTACCCACTGTGCTATCGCTCCAGCCCATATATATATGTATTTATATATTTTACTCTGTGACGATGTGTCCAAGAATGTGTTCATTCATGTGTGAGGCTCGGACCGAGCATGTGGAAAGCAGCCTGGAGGGTGGCGGTGGTTGGGTAGTGGAGGCTGGGCGCTGGGGCTGGGTCCCTTGGGGCTGAGAGGGCTCTCACCTGCTCCCTCTGGGGTGCCCCGAGTGAAAACAGCCTGGTGCAGAGTCCCATGGCATGGTTATGGGGGCCTCATTTTATACTCCTTTCCAGGAGAAGCAGCTGTGAGTTCTGGAGGGTGGTTGATGAGATATTTGTGTGTGTGTGTGTGTGTGTGTGTGTGTGTGTGTGTGTGATCTCCTCCTCCTCAACATAAACATAGACACAAAAATTGGATGTGTTCCCATGTGCAAACAATGACTCAGAGAAGAAAGAGATTTAAAATAGTGTCCTAAAACATTAGGTACCAGGAATGGGAGATGGGAGATCTGTGTAACAAAAGAATTTAAATCACTT